TTCGGAGGGACAAGACCATGATATTAATTATTGTCGGCATAAGAAGAATTAATTATTGACAATTCTGGCACAAGACCAGCCATCATGGCTGGAGATACACGAGAACCCGATCGGGCGTCGTCCGATCAATCTACCGCCAACAGCACCGATCAACCTACCAAGAAACCCAAGCACGAATTCCCAAGACGCAGGTGGGAAAGCTATGGGAAGCATTTGGAAACCCCGAGGAACCGGTCAACATCCTGCCTACTGCAAATTACAACCCGACTAGTGAAAAGCCAAAAGAAATCACATTCACGGAATCGCTCAAGTCGATATCTCTGAAGGATTTTACTACTTTCTATAAGGCGCCCTGTGCACGGGATTCTCTATTGGTTGGACTGGGCGCGGGATTCGGTGTCGGCGGGCTTCGGGGCGTTCTTGGAGGTAAATGTCTTCAGTTGAAGTCCAGCGAGGATCTGTGAACTCATCTGCCGGCTTTTTCTTCATAGGTATCGGATCGGTCTGGCCCGCCTGTAACTGGGCTGTGGGTACTTTCGCAGTTGCGTCCATCGTGGCACACGAATATTGCCAGCGCCGTCGTGCCAAGGAAATAGATGGCATGAAGCAGGCCGTGGAATTGATGCGGGAACTCCAGATCAAGAAACAGAAGGAGAAAGAACAAAAGAAAGCCGCTGAAGAGGCCGCCCGCCAGGCGGAGGAGGAGGAGCGGAGACGGAAAAGTTGGACCAATCTCTCGAACTACAAGTTCTGGTAGCATGTATATTCACTCTCGTGGAGTCGCGGCGTTGCCTATGTCCTTTTTGGGTGATATCCTCCGGTCTCATATGACGATGATGGCCATTTTGTAATATAAATTGATGCTATGTCGACGTTTCCAATGTACAGGATGTTTCTGGACCCCATCCCTCCACCTCCAAACTCCCTGAACGCCATCTGTAATAGCAGTGATCGGGGCGGCTCTCTAACTCTTATCCACGTCGAGGTCGAACTTGACCTTCTTTTGAACAGTACCTTCCGGCACGTCACGTATGCTGGCCCGATTGATCCCTTCGCGTCGCTCGCGACGTCTCTCCCGTGCTTCCTTGGCTTCACGTTTCTTCCACTCGGCAACTTGCTGCTGCCTTTTCTGGGCTCTCGCCCAGGCAACTGCAGCTGTCGGCTTGAAACCAATCCCATTCATACCGTAGCCATCATCGTTTGGGTCAGCAGGGTTGTGGCCTGTGATCTCTGAGTCGCGCCAGGTGAGCGAATCCTCGCCAGCGTCTCCGGAGAGCGGCGGAGATACCCGTCGTCTGCGTGATTTGGATGCTGGCAATGACTTGATCTTCTTGCGAGATCCTGGGACTTGCTCCTTTTTCCCAGCTGGAGCAGGAGGAACATTCTCTATTTTATCCTGTTGTTCGGCGCCTTCGATACTGGTTTCTTTCGCCAGTTCTGGCTCACCGTCTTTGAGAGAGTCCGCTTGCATGGCATCATCACTCGAAGCAGGAGCCGTGTCATCCGACTGAAAAGAATGGTCCTGCCATTTGGTCTCCAGATTCTGGCTTTCAACTTCAGAATGGAGATTTGACTCATTGATAGCGAGTTCCTTCAGGCGCCCTGCGACGGCGGTGCGGGGACTGTATCTCCCTCCTTCATCTTCCTCTCGTAGGCGGGCCTCTAAACTTGCTATCGAGACCGTTGAGGTCGGGGAAGCTGGTGGACTGCAACCCTCAGATTCTGAAGCGTCTCGTTTGCGCTTGGGAGACCTATACAATAGCGGCGCTGCCATCCTAAGTAGCGGGGCTGAAGATCGCAAGGACGTCTGATGGAAGTCGTCATGGAAGAGGGCACCGCGAGCAAAACGGACCTTGAGGCAGTCAAACTTAAGAGTCACTTTGGCGATCGCTCAAAAGACCGGAACATGCTCAAGGCCATTTTGTCCGACGCTTTGATGTGAGAATAGAATCACTTGGGGGCGCTGCTGTTGCCGATCGAGAGATGCGGGCTGCCCGGCTTATCGACGGGCAGCGCACGACTAGTCTAGTACGTCTACGACGTTATGCCGAGAAGTCACCCGCAAGTGTGAAAACACAACGCAAATTCCAGCTACCACAACATGTACATATTTTTACAAGCAGCATCCAGCCTGTCAAAACATAAATCAAAGCAGATAAAACAATAATAAGCGCCAAAGCATCCAGAAACGCCACAGATGACCCATTCCTTCCCATAAATCGGACAGATTTAGGCCTTGGACTTCTTCTTTGACGGTTCGACGTCACTCTCCCGCTTTCGCTTCTTCTTTTCCGAGACATCGCCGTCGGCAGCATCGGACTTCCGCTTCTTCTTCTCCTTCTTCTCTTCTTTGTCCTTGTCTCCCTTGTCTTTCTTCTCTTCCTTTTCCTTCTTCTCTTTCTTTCCTTCTTCCCCTTCTTCTTCTCTTTGTCTTTCTTGTCCTTCTTTTCTTTCTTCTCGGCCTTCTCGTCGGCATCACCCATTTCTACATCGCTCTTTTCGCCATCAATTTGCATATCAGCCAGGATAGAATCCATGGCGGTTTTCTAGAATGAGAAATTAGTAGATCAGTAGAGTTCTCGGATACTCAAGAATATGAACGAAACCTACCATTGCGACCTCATTCTTGGTGGGCGGAGCACCAGTGGCATAAAATTCCAGGCGTTCTTCGACTTGCTTCCGAAGGATATCTCCGAATTTTGTCGTTGGAGTTTCGGAGAAGTTATCAATTCTCGAGGCAATGGAGCACTTATTCGCCAGGAAACGTGATATTCTGCCCTTGTTTTTGGGACCCGCCCTGCCGATGAAGGACGAATGGTACAGCAAACCGTATTTAGGCGTATTACCCTTGGTCTTCAACGCCCTGAAAAGGGCCTTCTCTGCTCCCAAAATCTGAACAGTGGAGGCAGGGTACTTGGACAAGTTGGTCAAGCTGCCCGCGTGGGAAATCAGGCGAGCGCCAACGATTTCACCGATCAGAGCAGCTAAGTTGGGGGCAACCACGTTCATCTTGGAGACCAGATAGGAGTGCAGAGACTTTCGATAGTTGGAAAGACTCACGACGCGCTGGGCAAAGGCAATCACATTCTCCATATCCGTCTCCGAGATATCTTGACCCATGCTGTGTCTAGCAGCATCGATAATGCTTCGGGCAACTCCTTCGTCATCGTCTACCAGCGCAGCAAGATCATGGAGACGATCCTCTGTAAGGGTCTTCTTGTCCTTTATGAAGAGAGCGACCCGGGCGTAGCGTTGATTTTCCGAAACGATCTTAATGAGCTCAGGGAAATGCCAAGAGTACCACTCGCGGACTCTCATCGAAAAGGTGTTGATAGCCTTGTCAAGCTGATCCAAGATTGCGATCGCTTGAATGATATGGTTGTCATCTCGCTGGACGGAAAACTTGACTTTGGCACGCGAATAGGCGTGACCAAGACCCAGCTGCGCGGTATCAATGTCGCCTTCACGGAGCTGCTTCAGGAGCTTAGTCGCATGCAGCCGGATGCCTCGAAGCATGTCCTGGACGACCTCGCTGGTGTCTCCAGTCTCGCAATCGACAAACGGAAAGGCGGCCTTGATACTTCCTGCCAGTGCTTTGTCGGAGACCCCCAGAACAACCTTCTTCTTTTTGCCGGCCTTTGGGAGGTTCAGCTCGAGAAAGGAAATGAGTGTCGACGATGCCACTCCCTCTGAGATGTCATTGATCTCGCTAAGGGCCTGCTTGTTGTTTCTGGGACTCTTGTCAGCGCGCAGCCGCCACAAGTAGAGATGAATAGCACATACTCGAATGGCAAGAAACTGACGAGATCAACCATCTTTCCGAATTTCGCAAGGTCCTGCACGCTCTCCTGGACCTCTTTCAGACGATTGCCGACAGTATCGGCCTGGTGAACGACTTTGAAAATCGAGTACCCCATAGGGGCCTCGTAGAGGAGGTAGTCTGCCATGGCTCCTGCGCCGTAAACCACGTAGATGGAGGAACAAACTACCTCAGACGAGCAGGAGAGCTCGCTAGTACAAACCCTGAGTGGATTGCGATTGTACGAATCGCTTTGCAGGGGCGTGGGTTGCAAGAACAAGAGGTAGGAGATCCGAGATGTCGGAGCTACTTTTTTTTTTCTTTGCGGCGGCGCTAGTGCGAACCCCGAAATGTGGGTGGGCTTCTTCCTGCCAAAACCAGAGCTCACCGCGTTCGACGGGGCACCACCGCCTACAAGACCCAACGCCATAGACTTGCTGTTTTTCGATCTCCTTCTGTCTCCCACCCTTTCACATCCGGTTTTATTCATCATAGATTTTAAGTTCTCTCGGTGTCTCTCCTGCAGCAATGTCTGCGACCCAGTTACTAAATCCGAAGGCGGAGTCGAGGGTAAGAAATCTCCTGATTACCCCTCCGCGAACGCACACTGACACTGTCTAGCGGAGAGCTGAGGCTCTCAGAGTGAATATCAGCGCCGGAGAAGGTCTCCAAGATGTCCTCAAGTCAAACCTGGGACCTTCTGGTACCATAAAGATGTATGTCATCATCTCCAGCTGCATGAGACGAACTTTACTCTGACGAAATATCGCAGGTTGGTGGATGGAGCAGGAGGGGTATGCGGTCCTGACATGAAGAGGGGAGGACCTGGAAAACTGATGCGCATGTGAAAACCAGATTAAGCTCACCAAGGATGGGAACGTTTTGTTGAGAGAAATGGTTCGTTTGCTCCAATCTAGGCCACCTGGCTATAGCTACTAACGTTTCGCAGCAAATCCAAAATCCCACTGCCGTAAGATCCTTCCTCTGGCTTATGCCTTTCCTCTATACTTATCTCCGTGAAGGTCATGATTGCGCGAGCTGCTACAGCACAGGACGATATTACGGGAGATGGAACGACGTCAGTGGTTCTCTTGGTTGGTGAACTTCTCAAGCAAGCGGATAGATACATCTCGGAGGGGCTTCACCCACGGGTCATCACGGACGGCTACGAGATCGCTAAAAACGAGGCCCTGAAGGTATGTATATTCCATAGGTCTTGGTATACACTCCTGCTGAGGGAGTTCCACACAGTTCCTCGACCAGTTCAAGATCAATCGAGAAATCGATCGTGAACTGCTGTTGTCCGTGGCTCGCACGTCATTGTCTACGAAGTTGAACCACGCTCTCGCCGAGCAGTTGACCCCTGATATTGTTGATGCTGTTCTGGCCATCTACAAACCCCCGGCGAAACCAGATCTTCACATGATTGAGATTATGAAGATGCAGCATCGGACGGCATCTGACACGCGACTAATTCGCGGCCTTGCTTTGGACCACGGTGCACGACACCCGGACATGCCCAAGCGAGTCGAGAATGCTTACATCTTGACGTTGAACGTCAGCTTGGAATATGAAAAGTCTGAAATCAACTCGGGTTTCTTTTACTCGAGTGCCGAGCAGAGAGATAAGCTAGTGGAGAGCGAGCGTCGATTCGTGGACGCGAAGCTTCAGAAGATTGTGGATCTCAAGAAGCAGGTCTGTGGAAATGATCCGAAGAAGGGTTTCGTTGTTATCAATCAGAAGGGAATCGATCCACTCAGCTTAGATGTTCTCGTCAAGAATGGAATCCTCGCCCTCCGTCGGGCCAAGCGAAGGAACATGGAGCGTCTCCAGCTGGTTTGTGGCGGAGTTGCGCAGAACAGTGTGGACGATCTCACCCCCGATGTCCTCGGATGGGCAGGTCTTGTCTACGAACAGCAGCTCGGAGAGGAGAAGTATACCTTCATCGAAGAGGTCAAGGATCCCAAGTCGGTCACCATCCTCATCAAGGGTCCCAACCAGCACACCATTGCACAGGTCAACGATGCTGTCCGCGATGGCTTACGCGCCGTGTACAATACGATCGTGGATCAGAGCGTGGTTCCCGGCGCCGGATCCTTCCAGGTCGCCTGCGCTGCCCACCTCTCTTCAGAGAACTTCCGCAAGACAGTCAAGGGCAAAGCCAAGTGGGGTGTTGCCGCTTTTGCGGACGCTCTGCTTGTCATCCCCAAGACACTTGCTGCCAACTCCGGTCACGACATCCAGGAATCTATTGCCAACTTGCAAGATGAGCAGGCTGAAGGGAACGTGGTTGGCCTGAACCTGGCCACCGGTGAACCTATGGATCCCGTGCAGGAGGGAGTCTTCGACTCGTACCGTGTGCTGCGGAACTGCATTGCGTCTAGCACAGGAATTGCCTCGAACCTGCTCCTTTGCGACGAGTTGCTGAAGGCCAGGCAGATGGGCAAACAAAATGGACCTGGAGGAGCGGAGGAGTAATGTCAGCGAACCAAATAGTTAGGTTGCAAAACAAGGCGTCCAAATGAAATGTCAGTAATAAAAGCATGTGACAGACAAGATAAAGAAAAGTTTGTATAGTTTCATAGCTACCTACCTTAATTCGAAGATGTTAGCCCGTATTACAAGGTTAATTTCTTAGAGTAAAAAAATGGTTGCCTATATAAATCTAAATCCTTATTCTATCCCACACTATGAACGATCAGGCACCATCATTATGCCGTTACCAGGCATCAATAAAAATACAAATATGAGAAAGAGACTTGCAGCTCCCAGACCGCAAAAAGGACTACGCGGAAAAAAATCTCATCATTGTCCACCACTCCGTTTTACAGTTGAAACAATAACATAGGGTATCTTTTTTTTTCTTTTGTTTCCTTGCAGTGACCAGACTAGACCATACCAGACCGGACCAAACCAGAAACGCCATTTACCATATCATAAATTTCTCTGCCTGTATATATATAGCCCGCCAATACCTCTCTTTTGTTTATGTAGACTTCCAATCAGGTCACGTATCGTCGTTGTCCTCTCGCCGCCGCCGTAGATTCTCCGGGGCCCATTCACCCAGGAATCCCTCTTCTCTTACTGGATCTCGTAGCATGACATTGTGGATTTTGGCCCATTCCAAAACGTTCGACTTGCGCACTATGACGGTCTCACCATTCTCGTCGCCATCCCCGGCAGCCGAGGATGACGTTCTCTTGCGCTTCTTGCTCGCCATGTCGGGCTCCACACCCCCATCTCCTTCAATGCAGTGATGACATCTTCCGTCAGCATCCCCGTCGCCAGTCCAATATCTCGTACGGTCATGCGTTCCCTGTGGGGTCTCTTTTTTGCTGCCTTGGTAGCGTTCTGCTTCTGCTGCACGAACTCGTCGGGGTCTCCACCGGGAGGGCCAAGAAGGAAATACCGCGCAATACGCTCCTCCCAGAAGCGTGTATAGCTCCGACGGCCCATTTCACTGAGAGGTCTCTCGGGGCCGCCGATGAATCCCCCCTCGCATTCCCAACCACTGAGTTTGTAGCTCACGCCCATGAGCAGCTTTCCCAACTGTTTGTGCTGGTAAGGCGGGAAGATGAGGATGCACGCGAGGTTGTTCGCATCCCAGGACAGTTTCTCCTTGGAGAAATATCCTAGGATGTGGTAATTCTCGGGGTCTTTGGGATCGGTGTAGGTGAGGATGTAGTAGAGGAAGGACGTGACATCGAAGAAGACGGACTTGTGGTCGAGAAAGAGCTTCGCGAAAAGCGACAGGTTCTGCGCGAACAGCTTCTGATCCTCCCCGTCTAGTTCCCAAACCGCATAACCGCCGTGTTCGTAGACTTTGACTCCTGGGGGAGAGGTGCGGAACTCGCAGACACGGGTGTGCCCCGCGTAGGCGCCTGCGTCACATGTGTATCGAAAGCACCAGCGGCAGACGTACAACACATCTGTATCCTTACTAACGAGCTCTTCCGGATAAATCGAATGGAACCAGGTTTGGAAGCGGAGATCGCCTAGGACGACGCGCTTGACACCGCGATCGGCGCGTTGTTTGGAAGGGGTTGAGCGGCTACCGCGAGCCATGAGGGAAAAGGAGAGCGATTCAGGTCAAATCGCGAGGCAAAGTCCGGTATAGGTTTCTCGCAGGGTCTTGGAGGATACGCTGCCACGTAAAGGGCCATCAGGCGCGTAGCAACACTCAATGCGTGAGAAGCAGTACCGCATCTATCCCACGGCTGATAATAGCCTATGTGAGACGGCCTAATCTTATCCACAATTAGCAACCCATCGACAGGTGCGACCCTGTGCGGTGCCCAGCCAGCCACAGCCGAGGAGGAGGCCGAATTTCGAGGGCGATATGGTACTGCTGACTCTGCAAGTTTGCTGCTTGTCTGCAATCCTCATGTCTTGCGCAGCCCTGGCATCGGAGGCACTAAAACCCAATGCGGCATGGTGCCGATGCGTCCGGGGCAGGCTGGGCAGCGGGGAACAATCCAGCCCGCGTGATACAAAGAGCTGCTCGTTGTCCCAGCATGGTGACAATGCCCATTACCCAGAACTCTGTTGCCTGGAGCACAGTTTCTCTTCCCCATCGTTAAGACAACACACTTATCCACTATTTCGCCCATTTCGAAATTTTCAAGTACGGGCTTGCTGCGCTCCTTCTAGGTGTCGACTACCATGTGGCGTGCCCGGAGTATCGGCTGCTAAGGCTACCATCATTCGTTAGCGCCATCTGCTTCTAGGCTGCCTCATTTTGTGCAACTTGGGCCTTCTTATCCTTGGAGGGGTCTTTCTGTATGCGAACTTAACTTTCTATTTGCCTTTCTGCAAATATAGGGGGTGCTGCTGATACCTCAGCTGCGTGATATCACACAGCGGAGCAGCCGGAGCTTGAGTTTGATCGAGCTTGGAAGGTTCCTTCTTCCTGGATACATCTGTATCGAAGATGTTGAAGCCATTTCAGATCAGAGATCTTCACGTGCCTCTTGTTGAGGAGAATCTCTACGATTCTTCAACAGAGAGTGCTGTCTCGGAGCCTCCTGATAGGTCCTCCCGCCATGGAATCATCCAGCTCTCAGCTCCTGAATATGATGAGATAGCTTCGAACCATCCCAGGGCGAGACTGACTTATATGGATGATGACGATGGGGAGATAATTACTGTGAGTCTTTTTTCCCCCTAGTTCTTTCAGCCTAGTTTGGTTCTTACTCGTAGATTATTCCAGGTTGGGTCCTCCTTCGAGCTTGCCCAACGCCTAGACGATCCCATCGATATCTCGACACTTTCTCCCTCGTCCCAGTCTCGAGATGACGCGACCCCCATGCATGTTTTTGACATCCGACGGTCAAACTCTGTCACGGAGCTGTGGAAGAATATTGAGAGGAGATCTGCAATGCTCCGAGCTTCCGCTGAGGCCCCGGAGCCACAGAAGTCATCCAATGCCGTTGAGGGACATGCTGCGGAATCCGGTGCGCAGAACTTGGAAGGGAATGGTCCCTCGAACCAGCAGGACGAGCCACAGCCACTCCTTGCAGCATTTGAGGCTGAAATGGCCAAGATTATGGAATCGTCCGCTGCTCAAACTGGAGAAGAGTCATCTCCAAATCCGCCTACAGATGCTCCTGAAGATCGTCCTGCAGATTCGAACTCTAGCCATCATCCAAGGCCAGGTGAGGTTCTGACGCAAGCTTTGCAGAACCTCGCTGGTGGAGTGGAATCTCTTGGTTCAGAGCTGAAGTCGAGAATACCAGAACTCGAGCGCCGCCTCTCGTATGCTCAACGCGTCTTCCCCGAACATGTCGGTCCTACTTTCCAAGCTGCTCTTACAACTCTTGATAGCCACGTCAAGAACTTGGCGAATATTGTTCATGATGCATCCATTGCAACAGGACATGCAGCAGACAGGGTTCGCCAGGCGGAGCTTCGATCAGCCGAACAAGTGGTCGACGGTCTGGGCAAGATGGTCGGAGAGGTTGGTCAAATTGGTAGGACTCTGTTCGCAGCGTTTGAGGCGGAATTCGGACGACGGAGTTCCAGTACTCAAACCGAAACTCCAAATCAAGCGACAACTTCCACATCGCAAGAAGAGCAGCGGCAAGGAGCCCCTATTGATGAGAAGAAAGAACCAGCAGCGGATGCCACCTCATCTGCCACTGCTGGCTGCGCGACTACTGCGCACTCGGACGTTGATTCTGGCACAGGTACAAGCAGCAAGTTAGCTTCGCCTGATCCATCGAAGCAAACTGGCGCTTCATCCCAGTTGTCAGACGTGATTCCAGAGAATCAGACGCCCGTCCCCGCTCCGCCGCCTCCTGAGACTCGCCCACTTCCGATCAGGACATGCACCTGGCCAAACCGATCTGCTCAAGTACCTCCTGTCCCTCCTTCCCCTACTCACGAACCTACACTTAATAACCATGTCGAACGTTCTCCGCAAGAGCCCACATCGCAAAATAGCCACGATGGCGCTGTCCAAAGCCAGCCCAGCTCCGAATCCTCGAAGGCTGTAAAAGACTCTCTCTTCATTGGCAATGTGGGATTCAACGTGACGGAGAAGATGATAGAAGATGTGTTTGCATCTAAAGGCTTTTTGGCCAAGGTTCATCTGCCAACCGATTGCGTGACAGGGAAACATGCAGGCTTTGGTTATGCTCACTTCCGGTCGACCCATTCGGCAAGAGCAGCACTGGAAGCTCTTCAGGGAGCCCACATTGATGGTCACTCCATTAATCTCGAATTTAGCGACAACTCCCCTATCGACACTTTGCAGTCTCCAGAACACGTTTCTGATGGAGGACCAAAGCCTCCTACAGCTTCTGCGGAGGGGCCTTCCTCTTCTCAGCGACTGCGCCACCGCCAGTCATGGCATCCGGCCAGCCAGAGAACCGAGCAAATTGACTCAAGACGCGTCTCGTTTATGGATAGACTAAATGCTGTCTCACCTCGTCCGGCAACATCGAGCAAGGACGGACAGCCAGGAATTCATAATGATGATCCTGGCGCGCTTCTTGATCAATCAGAGGAGAGCGCTGAATTTGCTGCCCGCTACCCATCTCTCCTGCCTAGTAGCGACGCGCAGTCATCAACAGCTGCTTCACCAGATCGTCTTCTGACGCTGAGTCCAAACTCGGAAATGGCGCGCTTTCCACCGGTTTCACAGCTGGACGCACATATTCTTGCTAGTCAATACCGGTTTGCGCGTCCCAAGCCCTCAGCTGACAGTCGAGTCGATGACAATAAAGACCGTCAACCTTTTTCCCAACCCCGGCCAGAGAACGTGTCCGTAACATCCGTTCAGGAAAGGCAGCAAGCTTCCGAGCAGCCACGCGTTCCCATGGAATCTCGTCCTGAAACTCAAGGGCTTCAGACAGACACCCCTTACCAACATGGCCGAGGTCGGCTACGTCGGTCGCGTCCGATGATGCCTGCGGCACCATCCGCAAGACTTACTAGTCCATTCAATCCCCTCGTTCCTCACATGGCACCCGCTAGGCCTCTAAGACGTAGCGCCACGGAGGTTCACTCACTCCGTAATCGTACACGCGAAAACCCGACGGCCACGCGCCCATTGAGCTTCTTCGAGCGAGAACAAGATCGGGCTATTCCAGGGAGCTTTCCGGCTGACGAGCCCGCGCCGGTAGCAAGCGGTGAATTCGCGTCAGACAGAGACATGCAGATTGCTATCAAGCAGAGCATTATTGACAATTGTGTGGATACGTTGGTTTCTCTCGGTTACGGCACCGAACTGGATGGAGGACGGCAAAGGCTTCGCGTATATGCTGAGGCTGTTGGAGGCAAAGTTGCCGATGCTATTGATATGATTGAGGAAGATAGAGCAGCGTATGCACGACATGACTCTAGTACGCTGTGAGGCCCGGTTGTTGGGAACTAACTCTTACTTTTGATACCACAATTCTTGTGATTTCATTCATTTCAGACTTGTTTGTGTTTCATAGTTATGGTATTTGCTAGGGTACGACGGGTCTTGGAATTTGTTTGTTGGAGATACCTAGATTGACTCGTCTAGCGATGTAGTGTCTCTCTCTTCTGATCAGGAGAAATGGAATGAATCATGACAATTTCCCAGTAGATAAGTAAGTTGTGTTGTACGGAGTATAGATACTCACGTAGTAGCTGATGCATGTGCCTTTGAGATCACGGCTATTCCCGTTAGGGCTAAAAAGGTCACGGACTCACGTCATTCGCGGAGCCGAAAAGAATACCGCAGCTCAACGCGATCTCAATTCTCTGCAGATTCAACGTTGGAACAGCACACATTCGTTTATCGGGGCACGATCCCCTTCATACGAGCAATGCGGACATGGCGGCGGGGCTTTGCGACATCTATTCGGAGGCTTAGCCAGCAGACCATTGCGGCTCGTCCAACTCTACGATGTGCGGAGCTCCTCGAGTCGTCCCGGAAGGACGGCGCGTGCAGCCTCGAGAATAAAGAGGTTACAGTGCAGGGCTTCATCCGGTCTGTCAGGAAACAGAAGCGCTTTGCGTTCGCGGAGATATCGGACGGCTCGACGATTCAGACTCTGCAGGCTATTCTGACTCCCGATCAGGCGGCTGAGTATGCTTTCTTTCTTTTTCCCTTCCGACTTGCGGAGGCACAATGGAGACTAACGGCTTGTCGCGTACGCCAGCTTGACGACGGGGGCAGCTGTCGAGATCTCCGGTCTGTGGAAAGCCTGTCCTCCGGGCAAAGAGCAAAGCCATGAGCTCCAAACTACGGAGGTGAAAGTAGTCGGCGAGGCTGACCCTGGGGTGAGTCGGATGGCAGCACCAACGCAAACAGAATACTTTTTTTTTTTCAATTCTGACAATTGCTATTTTGCAGACATATCCTATCCAGAAGAAATACCATACCCCCGATTTCCTACGACAGATTCCTCATCTCCGCTTGAGGACGCCCTTCAACTCGCTGCTCTCGCGGTTCCGTTCAGAGTGTATATATCAAGTGGGACAAGTGTTTAGGTCGCATCCCAGCGGGTCATTTGTGCAGGTGCAGCCGCCATTGATCACGTCGTCGGATTGCGAGGGAGCGGGGGAGACATTTACAGTGATCCCGCAGTCATTAGCAACGACATCGAGTCCTGAAACGGAACATTTCTTTCGCTCACCGAAATATCTGACCGTCTCTTCACAGCTTCATCTTGAGGCGTATGCTGCGGAGTTGGGGAAGGTCTGGACCCTGTCGCCGACTTTCAGAGCCGAGAAGAGCGACACTCCACGTCATTTGAGTGAATTTTACATGCTCGAGGCGGAGGTGAATTTCATACGTGATTTAGATTCTCTTACGGATCTGGTCGAGGACCTGATCCGCGATTTGACGCGCCGGCTGTACGACACGCCTGTTGGCCAGGAGGTTTTGTCGGCCAAAAGAACGGGCGAATCCGGGCAAGAAGATGGCACCGACGCTGGTCTGCGTCAGAGGTGGACTGGTTTGATGGAGGGTCCTAGGTGGCCGCGGATCACGTACACGCGTGCAATCGAGCTCCTCGAAGACGCGGTCGCAAACCATGGTGTTTCGTTCAACTTCAAGCCCTCATGGTCTGAGGGCCTGCAGCTGGAGCATGAGAAGTACATCGTGGACAACATTTTCAACGGCAGCCCGGTATTTGTGACGGACTATCCGAAGAGCGTGAAGCCGTTTTACATGGCACCTTCCGAGAATTTGGGCGACAACGTGCCGCCGGAAAAGGCCACGGTGGCGTGCTTTGACCTGCTGCTGCCAGTGATCAGCGAGGTGGTCGGGGGCTCACTTCGCGAGCATCGTCTGCCGAACCTGATTCAGAACATGCGAGAGCATGGCCTGATCAAGAAAGTGGCCGATGATGCGCGTGCCGACGCGGCGGAGCCTTCGTATCCGCACCTGCTGCCGAACGAAGACCTGGGCCATCTTCGATGGTATGCCGATCTCCGTCGCTGGGGCAGCGCTCCGCATGGGGGGTTCGGACTGGGGTTTGATCGGTTGATAGGGTATCTTGCGGGAGTTGGAAGCATTCGGGATGTAGTTCCTTTTCCGCGATACTTTGGTCGGGCGGATTGTTGATACAGTTACTGGATGTACAATAGTAGTATAGATCTGTAGTATAGATCTGAACGGTTACCAAGAATGAGACACCTACTTAAACTTATCTTAAACACACTATATAGGTACTTCTTGTCTGTGTTAAAGGAATAATAGCGAGGTAAATTCATGAATTTCGCACTTGGAGGAACTGCTTTTCTACTCCTCACAGTGTCCCTGACACTGGCACTGACACTGGCACGGGCACTGATACTAGTACTGACCCTTCAGCTAGCTATTATCTTTCCTACCTAAGAGGGGAAAGAAATAATCTATACTCCGTAAAGAGCAGCACTAGCAGGCAACAATACCCATAGTAGTAGTAAAATAAGTAACAGCAATAATATAAGACTAGAAGACAAGACGATTGATTAATTAATTGATTAATTCTCAGAAAATTACTTACTTACAGACTTGCATGCATGTATGTATGTATGTTTGCGTTCAATGGACATCAATGAAGAGCTTTGTTTCTGAATATCTGACAAAAAAAAGGACACCAAATCTACAGTATAAATACATATTATGAGTTCGTTTACCTGTTTAACGAGAATATGGAAGTAAGCTAAGATTACATTGTAAACTTTCTCAGCTGAGTCGAAGTCTAGACAGAAGGAATAAAAAGGATTACTACTGACTAGATGCACGTACTGTATGCCATTGAACTAAGTAGATAGTCAGCATGATGATCGCTCTCTGTCAGATGTACTCCGCATGTAGGTGTCAGACACTAATGTATGACCTATAGCGTATGCCGGACATAGTCAGACAGTACGGAGGAGTTAGTTGTCAGATCACCCACACCTAGTAATATAGCACCGCGTATAATTAGGAGGATGACTGAAATACATAGATTAGATAGGCATGTAACTATGTAACTATGCAAGTCAGATTAAGCCAGGTACCTACCTAGGTAGTTATATAGTACCTAAGTAGTTAACTTTATTTTTCGTTTCTTTGTTTGTATTCATGTTGATATTGATATTTCATGTTCATGGTTAAAAAGAAAAAGAAAAAAAAGAAAAGAAAATGTCCTTCGCTTTCCCTTCTATCTAATAAAATAAGCCCATTCGAGCAGAATCCTTAATAATTCTTCTTCTTGGCGATCGATCGATCGATCGTTATCAGCTAGCTGGTTTTAACTTAAGTATTGGGGGCCTTTTTTGGTTTTACGCCCTTTCTACGGAGTACTTTCTACGGTAATATGTAGTGTAGGATTGATTTGGAAGGATGCTTAGCCTTAGCTTTAGCTACCTTAGCTACCTACCTAGTCTACCACCCTAATTACCACGTATTACTGCACTACTAACACTGCTACTAGCCTGCTACTACACTAGACAGGGATATTATTGAACTAAACTAATGTATGTACCCTACCGAAAGAACAGGGGACAATGACATGGCCATGGGGATGGAATAATGTTGGTTGGCAAAGGCAAGGGTAAAGGAAAAGACTCCGACTGGTTCGATGGGATATTTAAATTAATTTAATCTTCTAATGAATGTACGGCTAGATAGAGTCGGATTCGTGCAGGGACAGGGATGTAAATAACACGCAAAATAATTAAGCACCTAGACTGGAACGATCTTAACAGGATTGTTGACAATGGGTTACAGCGTTAGCAAGCAAGAGCTAGGAGTTATAATATACTGGACTATTGTTGGATACTATACTAGCAGATCAGTCACGAGTTCAGTAGATTGAAGAATTTATCTCGATTCTGGATGTGACAATGCGGAAGAGTGTGTTGGTTATACATTATATTACGTTAAGTATTTCCAGTAGTTGCATAGTTATTTTTTTTTAATTTTTATTTGTTTATTTAAACTTCTGCATTCTGGTTATCTATATTCTGCAGATAAAGATCCTTTCGAACAAGATCCCAGCTGAATTATACTTCTGAACAAGAGTGTACATACACTTCAGAGTGAACAAAAAGAAAGGGGGGGGTTCAATTATTTCCCTCATTTGCATATACTCCGGAGGATTATACTTCATAACACAAGACTTTATGAAAAGGTGGATTGAGATATACGATATCTCGTGATAGCAGGCAGTACTTACTGGCAACTTTTTGTTGTTGAGATATCTCCATCAGTCATATCATGTCATCATGTCATGATAAATGTTTATTTCTATCAATCAATCAATTACTATCACCTAATCTAGTCAGACCTGCCTACCTTACTCGTAAAGCCAGGTCATATGACCAGACCAGACGAGACTCGTCGACAAAACACAGCCTTCATTCAGTACTTTCATTATTATCATTATTATTCCTCGTATTCTGATCCATCCAATATAATTAATCCAGTTTCGTATTAGTATTAGCCAGTCGAGACCGGTTATTAGCTAAATAACGGCCATGACGCAGTAAGTTATAAAGTTATAATACTAAGTTATGACATGTCTGTGTGTCAGTGTCTGTGTCAGTGTCTGTGTCAGTGTCTGTGTCAGCGTCTGTGCCACCGCTAATCATAATCAAAAAATCAAGTTAATACTCAACAAAGTTCGCAACAAAAAAGAAACGGAAAGAAAAGGAAAAGAAGAAAAAAGAAGATGAGGCCTGTGCGTTTAAACTTTTTCTTTTTCCTTTGTTTCTTTCCCTCTTTTCCCCTCCACTCCACTCCCGTCTCTTTCTTTCCTAGGTTTTTCCCCACCAGTTTATTATAACCGACCGACCGACCAACCAACCAACATTATTATCAAACCCCGACAAATTAAATAAGGTTAATGGTTAAACCGTTAAATAATACGAGCAATTTCACCCGAGGGGAACTCTGGACAATGACAGGACAGGTTAATTATTAATTAAATTATTATCTTTACCTAGGTAATTAATTAAATTCATTTTAATTTAGTTTGTCTTAATAAATTTAATTTTGACACGTGGACGCCACAGACTAGCCAGCACTGCCCACTCGAGGCAAGTTTGGCGAGACGTGGACGTTCGTTCGGTATTCTTTTCTATTCTATTCCATATTCTTTCTTTCTTTCTTTCTTTCTTTCTTTCTTCGCCGTGGGTATCCGGCCGAGACGGCTAGTAGATTATTACCTAGATAGATTATTACGTAGGTAGGCGTTGACTTGGCCATACATACTGTACAATACGTAACCTCAATTAAATACTTATCAAGTTAGTTACTGTAGGTGAGTATCGTCATTCCTCTGTATGAATAATAATAGTCAGAAATGACGTATTGAATGAAGGACATAATAGTCAATCAGTCGATAAATCACCTGCGCAGCATGCGTTCGTTGTTGGTGTTATTTGTTGGTAGTAGGGTTCAGCCCTTCGTTCCAGAAGAGGGGAGGGGCTCGTGATCATCATTAATTAATTAATTAATCAATTAACCCAGTAGGCAACTCCGCACCGTTAGATAGATAAACACATATAAATAGGTAGATAACATACCTAGGTATCTATCGGATTACGGAAATAGGAAGGTGTATGGAGTAGTGGACAGCTTGCTAAGAGGGAGGCTGTTTGTTTAGCATGATGCAAGGTTAAAGTTAAACTTATTAGCTACCAGGCTCGATAAAATAATACGGAGTATGCATGCAGCATACCGTCCATTGGGAATATTAATCGTAATCATAGTCATATCTCATGTCTTACTCGTCAAAGCTTGTTTGAGACAGCGTTGGCCTTTGGAGCTCCGCTAGTGGCTGGTCGCACACACTCAGCTTGCTGACAGTGGTCATCCTGGTAAGTAGGTAAGCTGCGCTTCAAGCATTCATTTCTATCTACTGTACAATTCCACAGCTTGGGAGGCTTGGGCCAAGGCTTAGCGTTGAGTCTGTCTTGACTCCTCGCGAGGCTGGCTTGTGTCTCGTGACCCTGATTTGGCTAACTTGGCTTTTATCAAGGTTAATATATCTATCATTTATATGATGCTGCTGATGCTGCTGATGATGACAGTGATAGGCGGATAAGAGAAATCAAAAGATTGCATCCGATTGCATCAGATTGCATTGCATGTGAGACAGCTGACGCAGTGTTGTACAGTACATACAGTACAGACAGACAAACTTGCATTTGCTGCTGCCTTGCAGCTAGCTAGCTGATATGTTTTATTTATTTATTTTAATTTTATTTGTTTTTATTGAGGCAAGGCTAGCCAGTAGTACTTAGACAAGGGTATTTCTTTTTTTTTCTTCCCTGTCCACATGGCAAGTGGCACAGTCGGAGCTCCGTCTTATTGGCACGCTTAAAATGAAGCTTGCTTCCATGCTAGCTGGCAGCCTGGCTCGCCTTGCAGCTCCCCTCTTTTGGTTCAAATTGGTTGTTGCTGGCTGCGCCACAACAAGATGGATGGCCTTGTGTGACAAGCAATAAAATAAATGAATAATATTACCCAGGTGAATTATTACCCAGCCAAGCGGCATGTTTTATCCGAGTCGACGACTCGACGGCAATTGATGCGTCCAGAGGGTGATTCTTACCAGTCACAGGCACGCCACCATCCTTGCTTGCTTGCTTCATGCAATCGGAGAATCGGAGATAACGAGCCAACCTCATTTTCATACTCATCAGTTGACAGCACAGCGCATAAGATGACTGCCAGTGCCAGCAGGGTTGTAAAACCGAGGTAGGCATCAATCAGGCTTTCTTTCAGTAAATGCTGGTAATTAGCGGAACAATTAATAGATCACCTATTCGTACGAACGTCGATTAGAGTAGATACTCCGTACAGCACCTAGATACGCAGCTTACTCGTAGCAATTCCAAGCGATAACTTAATCAGAGTTTAAACTTTCAATAGTCTAGTCCGTATACGCCGTACGGCGTTAACGGAGTTCGCAAGAGTCAGACTGTCAGACAGATTAACTCATCAAAGTGGCGATCGGAGTACTACTACTTGACGGTGTACTCCGTACTCCGTACCGGACCGGTTGGACCGATCCATGTTGGTTGCAGGTTGCATGGAGCATGGTATGTTGCATGTTGCATACTCCATACGTATTGCAGAAAAGAAATTCAAGTGTCACTCCGGAGACCGATCGCAGGAATACGCAGCTGTATTGCTGCAACAATAATGTCTCGACGGAAGGTCAGCTGCGGAGCATCTCGTATAACTCGTAGGCTGGCAGACCTTATCGGAATAGAGTACTCTGTACGGCTACGGAGGACGGCTAAGAGGCTTACTCTGTAGAAGGTAAGCTGTATTCAAGAACCACCGGAGCCAAGAACCAAGGGTTGCGGCAGGCGATGCCCGTCCGGGCAGTTGATGTCTCAAAGAACGCTGTTAGCGGCCCCACCACGGCGATAGTCGCGAAGCCAATCTCGAGTCATGCCGTGTTTGCCGTGATCGGCCTGAACAACCTTAAATAATCATTACATGAGCGTAAGCAGCATTGCATTCTTGACCAGGCAGGTATTTTGGACTCCATGTGTCGTTCATCATTCTTTATTCGTTCTGATCAGCAGTGCAGGCAAGGAATTCGACGTAACGTATGGTACGGATTTCCCATTTTTGGGTGGTGTCGACATCCCTTTCTCCTAGTCCGTACTCTACTTACGGTGTACCTGTGCTTGGCCCTCGCACAGACAATTACCATTGTGGTAATATTCAATATAATACTCAAAATGTTAATTCATGTGAAGAGCCTTGCCGATCATCATTCTCCAGACTTAAATTTTAAGCTCTCCCAGTCTGAAATGGATTACCTTACCACCTACCTTCCTGGGCAAGATGTGCAGTGCCTCAGACATGCCCGCGCAATGACGAGATCACGGGCGAATCGCCGCGGCCGTCCACCAACCAGGTTGCGCCGACCGGGGGAGGATCTGCAATCCTGCATTTTTTGCATCAGCATTAAGGTTGATAAGGTTGATCGTGAATTTTCGATCAAGCTGCGCATGGTAGTGGGAAGGGATGGTAAAAAAAATAATTTTAGTATTAATCACAAGAATAAGAATAAAATAAAAAATCCTCCTGCCCACATTCCAACTCAGAAAGTGATTGTCTCTACCGATTGGCTCAGAAATAAACGACTAAAGATCAACTGCCAGACGAGCGCCTGATGTGCAACGATGGCAGGCATGCGGCGCAACCGAGCTGGAATTGCAACGCTGAGGATTATTATACGGAGTCTCCGTACGGCGTATAGAAGTACTGTACAACTAAGAGTGGGCGATGGATTTTGGATTTTCTTGGGGGAGGGGGGCTGAAATGCAGGTCGATCGGCAAGCAGATCTCTGCTGCTCTCCTCTGCAGGCCTACGTCAACTGTTACGGTCGCATTCTGGAGAAGAGCCAACAGCAGGCGCGAAATTAAGTTATTATGGTTGTTCGGATCGCCAAGCCAAGATCCGCCTGGATTCCCCGTCATCCAATCACGCCCTCCGGCCAACGCTGTAACTTTAAATCAAAAAAATCTGTCCAGCGCAGCTGTATGTTTTCTGTTACTAACATCTACGAGTGCTCTGTTCAGCGTGAATTCAGGTCGGTTACATACAGAGGAATGCATGTGCTAAGGAATGGATGAGATCTGCCACATGCATCTAATCAGATTAATCCCATCTGGACCAGTGATCGATATGAATCTCCAAAATGGAAAGAAATGTGAGAGGTTCGTCAGAAAAAAAAAGTTATGCTTGCCAGAATGGAACTGCTGGAACTTGGCGCAGGCAAAACATCCCTAACCGGATCCAGATGCTGGAGATGAGACAAACTGGGGTAGCTACCAAGAAGGTATGTACTGTATACCTACTCTGTTTGCGCGAGTTGGCGACGTCCATCCACATGGCCATCGGAAATTTGCCAGTTACACAACAACAAGCACTGCCTCTGAACCATGGGTCGATGCTGGTTCTTGTGGATCGAAGACTGCTACCTCCCAGTGGCGCTGTCGCACAGCATAAATAGCAATACCTTAATGAATCCATGAATCAGATCCTTGCAGAGCTGAATCGCAGACACCAGACACCTAATCAGGAGGCTGATGTTACAGCCTCCATTCTGGCTCCAGATTGGCAGCTCCACAGGATGCCAGGTTCTGCTGAATACAACACTGTCGGGACGCACCACATGGCGGCTTTCCCGAGTCATCCGGCTGGAAGCTGATTCAAGGCAGGATTTCTTCATGGAGTTGATTTCGAGATTCCAACATGGGAGGCCTGAGTCTGCCTCCTAGACTGGTAGCCTAAGCGGACTGCAGGACTGCAGTCGAAGTACTCAGTACTTCCTATAAGATCACTACATCATAATAAGTATCTCGTCTCTTCTGATTATGATATAAATAGATCAATTCGCAAGATCATCCAGACAAGGAAAATGCAGACCGAAAGGGAAGCAGCGATTGACAGGGGCCACTCGGTGTGCGCGCTGTCGGCCAATCAGCGGCCGGGCTGGCGCGTCCTCTGCCCCAAAAGATCATTTGACTCAGCGCCAAGCTTCCCGTGGACGCCTCTGATTGGGTGGGTCGCAACATGATACGCATGACTGGGCGCCCGGTCCACTCGGGCTCAGCGCCAACCATGTTCATCCGTCTCGACGACGAGGAAGACAATGGATGAACTCACGGCGTTCAGCAGCGAAAGGCCATCGTGTTCATTTCTCGCTGCACGGCTGTCACAGATTAAAGTGGCTGTTCGGCCGTGTCGCCGAATCGCCGCTAAGTTAGACCCATGTCTAGGGCCTCTAGGCGCCGGCTAACTATTGAACCGGGGCTTGAGACCGCATGAGCTTAATTCTGATGTTGGCTGCAGAAGTCAGCCTGTCAGAAATAGAATCAGGCCAACCAACAAAGAACGAGCGCGAACCGGGCCATTGATCTCGTGGGGATGCACAGGCAGCAGAATAATACACCGTCTGCTGTATGGTATTTTTAGGAAAAACAATACCTGTCTACAATAATACATCCGTACATGTCTGCAGCTGTTCACAGTGCCTTTCGATCCGGCGCGTGCCTTGGCTCCGAGTGGACACGGTGGCGTCCTGTCAGGAAGATCGCCAATGGCGGGAAGCAATACGCGAGGGCCAGCGACAAGCTCTCGAACGATGGGCTGTTGCGAGAAAAATTTGCCAAGAGGCCCAGGAATGATCTGAAATCAGGGCATCCCTTGTGGGCGATTGTGCCACATTTTTATTCTCTGTCATAATAATAATAATAACTTAACTACTCCGGGTCGTTAGTCAGCATCGCCAGGCTAGCCGGGACTATTGGGACTTCGCACGCCAACTTAATTTGGCCGTCGTAGGCTTACGCGAGGGCCTCCGCCCTCCCCGGCCCACCGTGGGGGCCCTTGCTGATTAGGTTTGCGCACCGATGCCAACGCAAACGCTCCCCAGAGCCAAGGCGTCCCTCGTGTCGGATTAAGCTTAAGCTTCGCCAGTTGCGCACTAAACCGGAAGTTCCACGTCGCGGACTGCAGGCCTGAGTCCTGACCCGGCGGTCGCCTGGCCTTGCCTGCGAGACGGCCACTCCGTATACGAGTCAGGGACGAGGAGAGGCGCAGACAGGCCAATACGAGGGCCGACTCGGCGGTACTATTGTATGAGCGTGCTTATTAATGCGCCAGGCCCATGATGGCGCCAGTGGAGCGCGGTGGAGCGCGCTTTGTTACCCGAGACAGCAAAGAGGGACTGTGCGCGGGCCTGAAACTGAGACGCCGCACGCACTATTGTTTAACGTTGTTGTAGCATGCATGCTGGCGGCCAAGCCTTGGCTCGGTCTGGTCCATCTTGGCTGCCAGTGGGCATTCCTGGGCAATAATCGCCGAGAGGAGCGAATTGACAATTAACCTTACTGCGCTCCTGCCCTGCAGTGGTTTTTTTTTTTGCGCCGCGCATGACAGGTTCGACCCGCAGGCTGCTCCTTCCCTGCTTCCAGTTTCCCTGTTTCCAGTTTCCCTGTTTCCTTCGCTGGGATTCTGGGAAGGTGCCGGGCAGCGGGCACGGGCAGCGCAGCGCCTGCCTGCCCGGGCAGCCCACCCTCCTGCCTCTGCCAGGAAGCAGGATCCAGGGATCAGCTGCAGATCGGCTGCCTTTTCTTTCTTTCTTTCTTTCTTTCTTGCAACTGCCGCGCTGCCAATCCCCAGCTCGCCCGACCACTTGCTGTTCGAAGCAGCCCCCGGTGGAGCGCCTCCCCACTCTATCTCGATTCGATTCGAAATGCTAATCCTAATCCTCCGTCTTTATTTGTTAATTACCTAGGTCCGGTAACTGCGTCCTGGATCGTCCTGCTTTCGCCCGCCGGCCGCATTGGCCCCACCCCAACTGCGACGCGCGCATTGCTGCGACCAACCCTGCTGGGAATAGAGGTAATGTAATAAATACGCCTGTATTGCTCGTCCACTGGCCGTGCGAGAATTTTTGTTTCCCGGCCCGTGGTGACGTAGAGCTGTTGAGGATCCTTCCCCCCTGTCACTGCCCACATGGGATGCACGGTGCCGATCTGATAATAGTATTAGTTATTACCTGTCTGAGCCTGCGTTCTTCTTCTTTCTTGCCTACTCATCTGCTCACTTTGCTGTGTTGTTCTTACATCCATCTCGTCTATCACCACCCCTGTCCTTCCCCTGGGTGGTTGCAGCTGATCTCACCAACATTCATTAATATATTCATCTAAGACTAAGTTCTTGGTACAGCCACGTTGGTGGTGTTTCTCTTATCTGAGTAATCCTGGCAAGAACAAAGCAGGGCTGACGGGTGTCAGAAGTGTGCATTAGTCGATTTCACCCATTGACTGGTTCCGTCTACAAAACCAGACGGTCTTCCGTCTCCCTCCATCCTCTCTCTGATTATCTCCCTTCCCTCTGCTCCTCTGCTTCAGCTCCATCTGGATGGAGACGTATTACGGCCTCGTCCGCACCCCTGCGGACGCCATCATCCTGTTCGAAGCATGTCGTCTGGGCCTTCTCCCCCGCGTCCAGCGACGGTTATCAGAGAAAGAGCGGCAAGCCATCAAGTCGGGTTCGGTGTTTGTGTGGGATGAACGAGAGGCGGGCATGCGACGATGGACCGATGGCAAGTCTTGGAGTGCCAGCAGAGTCTCCGGCAGCTTCTTGACCTACCGTGAGATGGAGGGCAAGCGTGGAGGCGTCTCGCGAGCCAACAAGACGCCCAACAGCCAGGGCGGCAGCGACGATGACCACAACAACAGCAATGACGAGGCTCCGGACGGATACCGCTACAAACCGGACGGGCTCATGAAGCAGTCCTTCAGCATCACCACGTCCACGGGACAGCACCTCCATCTGATCAGTTACTATGCCCGATCACATCCCACCGCCCCGAACCTCAACCAGCCGTCGACTGACCCGGCGTTGCGACACATCCGGCCCCAAAAGGGTCTCTATCCCGAATCGACCGTCAATGACCAGCAGAACCTGCCCGTGGTGACGCGGGGACCCATGGCCGGCGCGACGTTTTCGTTGTCGCCCCATGCCATGGGTGGATATCCGCAGCGGGGGTATGCGCCTCTCTACACATGGCCTCCGACTCCGCTGGCCACGCCACCCACCGCGACGATTCCGTACAGTGCCAGCTACCTGCCTCCTCTCTCCGGTGTGTCTGCTCCTTACGGTCAACCGCCGGCGCTACCAGCGCCTCCGGCACAACAAGCCTTGCCGGCACCGCCCGAGCGACCTGCCCATACGACGGAAACGACGACGTCGGCAGCGGCGCCGGCGCACACCAGCACAGCACCCGCACCAAGTCTTTCTACTACATACAGCCATCCGCCGCAGTCGCAATCACAAGCGGCACCCAGCCCTCCTCACTCTCAGCATGTCAATTCGCCGTCTCATGGGTCCCAGATCGACCCGCGTCTGATGCCGCAGACGTCTCAGCCGCCGACTAGTGAGCCTCGCCCGACGCTGCCGCTGACGCCGAACCAGTCGCATCTGCCGCCACCGCAGACGACGAACGGGCACGACGCGGCAGCTAGTTCGGGGACGACGGTGCCCAGCATTGGGGCGCTGATGAATGGGACGTCGGTGCCGCCATATTCGAAGCCGATCCCGACGCCGTTGTCTGGCAGTCCGAACAGCGTGCGACATACGGATGGGCCAAAGGACATTCCGAGCGAGAAGATAGGGATACCGGGGGAGGATATGCGGGCACTGCGGCAGTTGGACCGGGTGTTTACGGCGTAGCTATAATTGCTTTTTACTGAGTGATGAAATTACAGCTTGATACCAGATTCAAAAGCCTGTCGCATTTTTTTTTTGTTCTCTTGTGGCGTTGAGAGTGGGATGATTGATTTGTTTTCTACAGCATGGGCGGCGGTTTATGGTTGTATGTTTATGGGTTTTACATACATGGCATGGGATGGGTTGAGATTGTCAGTTAGAAGTTGTAATCTGTTGTTCTACTTCTTGGGTGTGTTATTGCTGTAGCATAGGAAGAAGTCAACTACTACTGTTCAGCTTGCAGTGTGCCTACAATGCAGCACAATACAGTACAGCAGTATACTCTTAGTCCAGCGTTCAGGCCCTCAACTTGTCTCAGTTCAACCTCGCTTCTCAAGAAGGATTCATCCAAAGGATCAATCAAAGCAAGCAAGCTCGCTCGAAGCAAGCAAACTTCAATTCAAAACGGAAACAAAACGCCGGTCTAACCAACCATAACCCCATTAACCATGAACCCATTAGTAAACCAGTAAACCATTAGTAAACCAGTTAATTAAACTAAGTAATTAAACTAATTTCTGTCGATAAAGTCAACGTTAATGTCATTTAACCTTGTTTGTTGTATTGTAAGTAAGGTAAGGTAAGGTAAGGTAATTTGGCCCCATGCGCCATGATCCATACTCCATGCGCCATGCAATCCATCCTGACATTGATAAGCGAGGCCTCTTGTGCGCACTGACACAAAGTAAAAGTGAAATAAGCGTCTGACATGTTTGAATTGGGATAGTCAGGTACTCCATATGGGCACTATGTGCATGTCAGGTACATAGGCGATGTGCATGTGCATGGATGTGGGCGTGGGCATAGTGGGCATGTGTGTACTTACTTACTTTGTTTGCTATCTTCTAGAATATTACTTTGACTTCTGGTGAAGGGAGAACTTGATTCTTGGTTTTTGTCATTGTTAGTCAACTTGCTCTTTATATTTTTATTCATTTATTCCTTTTGTTTATTTTAGTTTATAGCATAGTAATAGTGATAACAATGCTCACAGCGAACTCCGTAGTCTTTCTTTCTCTGTACTCCGTACAGTACAGCCTGATTTGATTTGACTCAATTGCCGAAGACGACACGACGATCGCGATGAAGCCTCTCTCTCTCTCTCTCTGTGGCTGGCCCTGTCTACCTCTACCTAGTCTAGATCTGCTCTGTATAGCTAGCTAATAGGGCCAAAAAAGGCATATTCCATTTTAAAATAGCGGCGGCAACAATAACAATACATAATAATAACAAGTTGAAAAAAAATTAAGCTTCATCGTTTTTGTTTTCTTTTTTTTTACCCCGGTCTTTTTTTTTCTCGGTTATTGCTTAAGGTTTGTTTGGCTGTCTTGTCTGTGTTGGAAACTGTTGTTGTATCGTATTATGTTGGTTGTTGGTTGATGGCTGTGTTGGTCTTTTGGCCCCCATGCCATGGATATACGTAGGTATTCCAGAAGGATTTGCGTTGTGCAGTTAGCACATTATTAGCTTGGTTCAGTTTGGTTAGTAGTGGCTCTGCCACCTGCAGGTACAGCCAGACTAATTACTCTGTACAGACAGGAAGGACTACTGTCATGTCAGTGTCATGTCAGTGTCACCTTGTCTTAGTTAGACTATGCCTAGCTGGCTAGCTAGTCTTAGGAGTAATTACTGGACTTTGTACTGTGCCTGACAGGTTACTGCTCTGCTACTGCTACTGCTACTACTAGTAGTACTACTACTGTAGATACTTGCCTAGGTAGGTATGTCGTAGCTATGCCCTGTCTACGTCGATATGTACTGTGTGTAGGGTACATGCTACTACTACGGTAGTCTGTCGATACGAGGGAACAGTAGCGATATCCAACAAGGTATACCATGAAGTATGTACTGTATGTATGTACCTAATGCAGGAACTGAACTAGAACTGGGGGCTGTACATATGCAGGGGCCAGACTTAGACACAACTACCGAGTCACCGACGACCGACCGAAAGATGGATCATGGGAACTGGGAAGGACCCAAGATCGACAGCTAGCCGCCCTAGGAAGAAGGGTCGAAAAGTCTAGAATGCGGCAATTTTCAATAGGCACCTAATTAACTTCAATCCAAATCCCACAGCACTAGAGAGGACAGCCATGAATCCTTCCGGAGTGCTTCTGAAACGGACCGGAGGAACGCTCGAGCGGATCTGGGGCTGCGGGAGCGGGGGCGGGGGATAGAAAAAAAGACATACACACATACATGCATGCATGCTTTGTACAGGATGTACTGTTTGTACAGTGCATAGAGGTGGGTGGATAGATATATCTATATATGTAGAGTGCCAAGATGGATATGTAGGTGTCAGCCACCTGGGAAAAAAAACAGTCAGGACAGGAAGTACAGAAGTCTGAGATAACATGCGCTATACGCTTGTTAGGTACAATATAGTGTACACAGAATTAAAAAAAAACAGTGTGCCGTCAACCGACTGACGATCGATAATAACGCATGTACAGTACAATATGCATGTACCTAGATGCCTAATTGCCTGACGTTGTAACTCTAAAGTATATCTACCTAATGTACTGTATGCATGCAATTACTAAGCGACAATGTCAATAAATGCCTCACCTCATGAGGCATTTACTATTATTGTTGTTATTGTTGATATTATTATTATCATTACTATTATTCCTGGGAGAGGGCAGATATATATCTCTCTTTTTTTTCTTTTTGGGCATCCACGCCAACCTACTTACCTACTCCTATATTATTATAGCTATTATTATTTTGTACTGTTACTATGTGTATATATTATTTGCTTCTTTCTTTCTTTCTTTCTTTTTCTTACATGCAGTATGTACTGTACATACCTATAGAGAAATATATGTGTTTCAAAATAATACTTACTTACTCGTAGATCTGCTTCTGCTGATATGATATTATGATCTTCGTGAGGAAATTTGCCTTGCCTTGTCTTGTCTTCTCTCCTTGCGGTATTTTTTTTACTAATTTTTTTCCCCTTCTTTTTCCTGCTGCCTGTTGAAAAGTACATACAAGTAAGCTAAGCTAAATCCTAAGATCCTAAGATCGTGAGTGAACAAGGATGGAGTGTATCCATTTCAGTATATTATTACATTATCCATAGATACATAGTAGCAGGGAGAGGAGGAGAAGTGAAATAAGTAGACAAGTTTTCTTTTCTTTTTCTTTTTTTCTTTTCATTTTTTCTTTTGTTGAAGAATCTTGAAGAATCGCCTTTCCGATCAATCATTTAAATCAACTTTCTCCCATGTTTGACTGGTTGATGGCTAGGGCATATATTTATTTTTGATTCTAACTCCTAACGTTATATCTCGCGGGCATGATTTTTTCTTCCTAGCCATCAGGATATATTCAGACTCAGACAGGACATACAGACAGACAGACAGAATTTCCATTGATTAGAATTGCTGAGAATTGTTCGTTGGAAGAAGAAGAAGAAGAAGAAGAAGAAGAATGTCATTGAAGAAGATGCGTAGATGAAAAAGCACATATATAGGCTTTCTGACTATGATGTAGTCTTTTTTTTTTCGAATGCTCGATTATAATAAGCTCATAAGCTCATCAGGTCGAAGCAATCTTTCTTTCTGTGGATAATATTAATATACGAAGTAATAATTAAGGATTATTAAGGGCGTCTTTTTATTTATAAAACCGGTATTATATTAGCTTTGTTTGTCTGCTACAAATGTAAAATGTATTCATTCATATTCACTTGCACTCCTGCGCTGATGAAAAAAAATTATTTATTTTTTTGCAACGAAATATAAATGCAAATTGTTGTTGTAAGCTTAAAGCTTAAAGATCCTAGAGAATAATGATGATTTTATTCAGCACAGAGAGAGAGAAAGGGAGCGCAAAGACTGCTCATTAATAGAGCCGATAAAAAACATCCCTGATATCAATTCCCCTCATTCATTGATTTTCTGTTGTGTGACAACACGACACACTAACTCCATCGTTGGATCACATGCACCCTCCAGTTCATTGTCGTTAGACAGTCACATGTATGGATTGTCCATGTACAGTACAGTCCGTAGATGACAAGCATGCTTGATCTTAGATTATTCAAGCATCTTCCACAGAATATCATAATTTCATTGAATTGAAGAAAGACCTGAAACTAACTACTTTTTCTTGAGTCTGCCTGGTCTGTCTGTCTGGACAGCGAATTCTTTCTTTCTTTCTTTCTTTCAATAAATACTATACTGTTAGTTAATAATTCTCAGCAACTCTAATATTATATTATGAGTCGTGCTGGACTGCGACTCGATCCGCTGCATGACGACGTCGCGAACGAATTTGAAATTTCGGACCCGTCGTTCAGCCAGGGATCGGGGGATGAAATACTCCAACAGTGTTGAAAGACCAGAAAACGATTTCGAGGCGTACACCAGGCCCATGAGCTTGAAGTTGGTGACCATGTCGGAGATTCAGGGATGGTATGCGGCCCTTCGCAGGCAGTCGAACTCGTAGCCCAAAGCGAGGCATCCTGAGAATTCCCATTCGAACAGATTAGAACTGGAAATATGCTGAACTCAGGCAGGTCATACCCATGATATCAAACGTCGTCCAATCGAACCACGGAACAATGTTGACCACCTGTCCAGCATGATCTCGGAGCCCCTGGACCAGGAGATCCACATATCCCTAGATCAGATACTGCCGCTTGTTAAGCTCCTTTTCGGAGAACGCGGGCGCCAGATACCGTCGCTGGCGGGCGTGGTTGACATCGTCGGATTCCCCGATTCCTGCAGCGCCACTTGGGGGCATGATATAGAGATCCGGGTCTTTGGCGTATCCCCGTTTGCCTGGGCGGCGGCCATAGATATGTCTTATGGCGGTGGCGGTATCGAACGAGACGCTATTGGGTCCGATGCGGACGACAGACTCGTAGCGATCATGGATTCTTTTCACATACGCCACTCCGGTGCCAGTAAAGCATGCATAGACGTGGGGAATTTCCGACGCCGCTGCGAAGAGAGGACCTGGGATTTTCCGCAGAGGTGGAAGAAGATATTGTAGAATAGCACATGTTAATACGTACTGAGGAACATGTTAGCATGCTTCTTTCAAATTCCAGCACGTCGAGGTCATACAGCTGCTGCCAGTGCGATGGACGTCTTGAAGACATCGACAAAGGAAAAGCTCACACCCTGGATGAAAGACATGTCTGTTGAAACGAATGAAATTGATCAGCACCAGAGATATAGGATCAAGCCAGAGTGTAAGCGTGTCAGCGCAGTCTGCAAAACGTAGGAAGGCGAGCCACACTATGTGGGAGATTCGATGCGTCCTGGGTATGACACGCATATCGCAGTGATCGTCGAGATGAACAGTAGAGACTGTGGGGGTTGCCGATCGTGATGGAGGCCGTTAAGTTTGCGGCACGGCGCACAGGATACTGTATCCGGAAAACTGAGACAGCTGTACTACTCACTCCAGTTCGAGATTGCAGTGATCATGTGCAAAGCTATCCAACCTTCTTTTAATCTTATTCTCGTATGACCGTTTTGCTGCTCGCTGAGTGCAGACATTGGCTGAAGGGGCCGAAGGATCAGAGAATGCCGGTCCTCCATCTGAAATAGTCAACTGTAGACTTTAATGATGGCAATCGCGGTCTTGGCTATACCAAAAGACAAAGGTGACGAATTTTGCGTGATTTTCTTGTGTGACTGTTGTAACCCCCCATTTTAGATGGTGGTGCAGTAGTCAAACCTCTATACCTATATATGGAGTAACATCTTCTCCATATTTCCACCGATGGGTGTTGCTCAGCAATATTCAACGTTGCGCCTAACCTGGCTCATACCGTCCTTCATACTCGCAAAATGACCTTGGACACAAAGTCCATTGACTGCCTGCGCAGAGTCCAAAAGTATCTTGATCGAAATGCGAGGCACTGGGTGTCCGAGACCGACACCGGCATCACGTTCAAAGACAACTTTATTGAGCTTCTGATGCTCGAGGAGACTGGTAACTGGTATCATGCCTCTCCCAGCTTGGAGAACCTGGAAAAGAGACTTGCTGAGAACGATCCAGGAACCTCGTTGATCTGAGGATCCCGCAAGGGAAATGGAATTACTTTGGATGTGAGTCGTCCTTTATAGAGACAGTGGGTGTAGATTGCTGACGAGCAATCCAGCCAAGGCGGTCATCGTCGGCGACTACCCCGACGACAACGATACCAACGCGGTTGCCTCGACGATCGTGAAACCCGTCGATTCCAGGGCCCATGCTCTCATGGATGAACTGCTGCAGAGCGAAAACGAAGATGGAATCATCCAGGTAATCGATCAGAGGTGGCGATGACATCTTTAACTAACGAAACTGCTCCAACAGCTCTACCAGGATCCCTCACGGCCGCGCGTGTGTCCCGAAGTCTCGGCCAACATCTGCACCTTCTTCTACACCTACAACCGCGGCCATGAAGTCCGCAAGTCGTTTGACTGGGTGTATTCGGCGCTGCAGGACCGGGCATATCACGTCCCGGGTAGATATTACTTCAACCCGGAGCCCTTCTTCTACTATGTCCGGCGTCTGGTGCGTTCTGCCAAGCAGCAGCCCGAGCTGGACCGGCTGAAGGAGCTCCTGGCAGCCCGGGTCCAGGAGCGCATCGGGACCACACCGGACGACCCGGGCTGCCTGGCCATGCGGCTGCTGATCTGCCACGACTTTAACATCCCTAACCAGGAGGATCTGCAGGCGCTGCTTCGCTTGCAGGAGGAAGACGGCAGCTTCGGCGTGGGCTGGTACTATCGCTTTGGCCGTTCGCAGATCAAGGTCGGGCACCGGGGGTTCACGGCGACGCTGGCATTGGAAGCGATCAAAAAGAACCTGTTGTCTGCTGATGAGAATGGCGCGAATGGCAGCATTGAGTGACGGAAACTTTTTCTTTCTCTTTTGGATATACAGTAGTAACACCACAGGCAGGGTGATAGTTGACGTTGAACTGTTCAGTATTGTCATTAGTATTGCCATTGGCTGAGTCCAAATAGAAAGAGACGCGACCGATCAAGTCGTCGTTGCCGAATCGCACTGTTCTCTTATTGGCTAGCGTGGCTCACCGGCAATCCGATTGGTGGCAGCCATCTTAAATTTGTCGAATAGCTGCTTCTGCCAAGCCGCTAGATCGATCCTGGAACGATCTTCCAGCATCAACATCTCATCCTATCTCGTTCGGGATGCAACAGGGCGATCATGCTGAGTGAGGCTGCTGACTATCCAGCTTAGGAAGTCGGAGGGCCGAATCCTTTCACAAACCTGCCGCCGATCACATGGTCGCAAGTCGATCAGAAGGATGAGAATGGCCTGAAGGGCCCTTCGTACTCCGTGTGAGAGTCAGGTCGCAACGTATTCACATGTCCTCCATACTGACATGAAGCAAAATGGCGGGGCCCCAGAGGAATGATCTTTCGAGAAAATGCCTCAAGCCAAGCAGATAAAGCTTCCAGTCAGTAATCATGCATATAACTGACTCTGTACCTTGTGTGACGCAATACTGGCAACGGTCTAGACTTGGATGAAACCTACCAATCCAGGCAAAGGCAGTGTAACGTCTCGACTATTATTTCTGTTTGCTTTTTGCTGCCCATGAGCACTTTCTTTCTGGTTGTCTGATTTTTTTGTCCGTCTCGTGCGTCGATATGCCGGGTTATCGACTCAACGCAGTTCTCAGTCTGGTGCTTCTTCCTCTCGCCAACGCGATGGGGCATCTGGCACCGGGCGTCGGGGCTGCCTGGGCTGCAGTTGGAAGGCCGCTGATCGACTATCCGGTTCTTCTCTTGACATTCTCAGTTCATGCTCTCGCCGACAGTGAGTCCTGACATAACAAAGGAAAAAGGAACCTGCTGATCGACACCAGGCTATGATAAATGGAAAGACATGCCCCGACATGCCCGGCCATCGACCAGACTGTGGCTGATGTGGGTTGGCAGTCTGCTGACCCTCTTGCTGGGGGCAACCTATCAATGCGGCTTCCACGTCGCCAGACGACTGCTTTTCTTCCTGGCAGGAGAGTTGCTGTGGCCAACTCCGTCAGTCCCCTTCTACTCCCCCGGCAAAGGCCTGCGACTCGTTAAGCTCAAAGATGTGGTATGTTGCCACTTCCCATATCTTCCATATCCCAAACGCAGGATTTGACTGGATAAAAAAAACCCTGCTAGTTCGGCGCCGGAAAATCGGCCTTCTGTGGTTTCTGCGCCGGCTGGATGGACGTCAACCCTGCCACCGTGCGCGCGTGCGGGCTGTATCCCAGCCTGTGCAGTTCCGGAGACGTGCGCCTGCGGTCGCTGGCCTACAGCGTGCTCTACAACTTCCTTCGCGAAACCGTCTGCGACGCCAGAGACGTTGTCGAGGATGAAGAGGAGGGAGTAATGACGCTGCCCATTGCGCTGGGTCGGCGGGGTACGATGCTCCTCCTCACGGTGGTCGTTATTCTTGGCGATATCGTCATCACTGGAGACTTGAGCGTGGAATCGTTGCTTCGCGCGACATTTGCGCTGGCCATGTCGCATGTGGTGCGGAAACAGCCGAGAGAGAACGGGCTGGCTTGGGCTTGTCTGGCGCTTTTTCTGCTGCTTCCTGTCTTGTGGGGGCAGGTTCGGCTGGTGGACTCGTAGTGTCGCGGTACAAGGTTGTACCTTGACGGAAGGACCTTCGACGGAATGGAAGCATGGAGGATCCATCTCTGGTCACATGGGATACCCGTGACTTGGGTATGGATACATTCCCTGTACGTAGTCGGAAGATCCTTCCTCCATCATCTCATGGTTCATCCTTCATAGCAATGGCACGCTGCATTTAGTCGCTACAATCTATGTTCCTCGTTCTTATCTGTTCTTGCCGTCTTTCTTGGAGAAGAATTGATTTACTGCCTGCTTTATTTGAATTATATTTATATCTATTATTATAGTGAGTTACTGATAGAAAAGGAAACTGGCTAGAAAGTAGCTTAGTATTTATAGATAGATTTGATCTGTCTATACTTGGTAGTGTTTGAATAACCTATATTGCCTGTTTGCCTGTCTGTTTGATCCAAGATGAAGTTGTGCTTATCCATGCAGTATTATTTCTGTGACCTGACTGGTGGAACGTGGGTGGAACGTGATATAGAACACTCATTATTCTTCATATTTATTGATCGACCGTCTCCAAGTATACGCACATAAAGCACTGCTTTGGCATACATTATTCTTATTATTCCCGCAAATCGAGCCCGAGACCTTCCGTTCGTATATGCTTATGGTATCAACTCATTACTATAATACAATGACTAACCTAATCATCAGACGATCGTCAAACTGAAAGAGATCAGTCCTCAGTCTCTTCTTCCTCTTCGCTGCTGACTTCTTCGCCCGCGGCGATGGCCTGCTCACGGCGCTTTCTGGCCCGCTCGCGCTTCTTCTCGAGCAGTTTATTCAGCTTCTTGGCCACATTGAACACCCCGCCGGTGCCCGCTCCGCAGGCCGCACACGCCGGGTTCTTCCGGTACCGCTGCAGGGCGCACGACTCGCAGAAGTAGTGGCCGCACTTGGTGACGATCGGGTTCGTGTACGACTTCTTGCAGATGATGCAGGCAAACGGGATGTTCTCGAGCATCTCCTCGTCGTCCGAGTCCTCGTTGTGCTCGGCCGTCTTGGCGCCCTTGTTCTGCGACGCGACCGTCTGGCCCTCCAGCTTCTTGCCCTTGGTGGCAATCTCCCAGTCGCGGTCCAACTCCCAGCCCTGCTTGTAGTCTTCACGCGCGTGCAGGAACTTGCACGTGTCGCCGAACCCACAGAACCCCGTCAGCTTCCAATCCTTGCAGACATCCGGGGCATAGTCTGTGACGGTGATGGTGCGAATATTCGTGGGAGCCTTCATCGGCCCGACCTGCTTCGTGGGAGCATTGGGGTTCTTCTGAATGAAGGACTGGTAATTGGCAGCGCCCTTGTATGTGCCGTCTGGGGCCGAATCCGATTTGGCGTCCGGCTGGGCCCGTGTTTTGCCCAGCAGATTCTTCGCGCTCAGTTCCTCCTCCTCGTGCCAGTTCGAGTGCTTGGTCGCATCGTTCGTCGTGACCAGGGGCGCGGCGGTCGTGTTCGCTGTTGTGTCTGCATCTCTCGCATGGGGCTGATTCGACGCAGAGGATGCCGTCACTGCGGCATTCTTCCGTCGTCGCTTGATGCGGCGGCCTTCCTCGTCGTCTGATGAGGTGAAGTCCGAGTCTGAGTCGGACGCGGGCGGCGGCGAATCGGGCTTCTTGCGAAAGGTCGACTTGGCCTTCGCAGAGCGCTTCTTGAAGGAGAACTGGGGGACATCAGCCGGAAGATCAGCGGCGACGTCAGCAGCCTCCTCAGACATGGTGATGGCTGTGACAAGACTGTCGCAGCAGAGACCAATACTCTGTATGATGCTGTGGCGTTGATCTGCGGGTGACCTCATATTGGTCACGTGTGACAAGGCATCAGTCACATGACATCACATGACCAAAGTGAGGCTGCGCTAGCCCAAAGCAGGAAGGCACGCGTACCAAACTGCAATGGGCTAGCCTGTTTGGTTGGGCGCAAACACAGCGCGTCAGCAGCCAATCAGGCGCCGCAGCCAGCCCGCCTGACGTGTAGCCAGTCACGCCCCTCCGCCAGCCTGCCCACGAGCTGCTTCTCGTGCTGGCAGACAACAGTCTTGTCTTGCAGGCCTGGCAGCCTGTGTGTAGCAGGATGCGCTGCCAGTCGCTCACGGCGACATGTAGCACAGCCAATGTAGCCAGCGTATTGACATGCGCCTGTTGATTCACATTCATGACAGCTATGTAGTAGCCCAGCCGCCCGGCGTGAGCCAGTGCCCGCACGGCCCCTGCAGGAAATGAAATGAAGCCTCCAGATCGCTGCTGCACCGCCCTGTCCTCCTCCGCCCAAGACGGCCACCCGCTGCCACTTGTTTCTTCCCTTCCTTTCTCTCCTCTCTGTGTTCCCCCGCCCAGCGGAGTCGGTCGGCCACGTTCGACTTCGTTGCAGCATCTCACTCTCTTTTGTCGCTCCTTTCTTTCTGCCAATCCTCTGTCAGGCTGCTCTTCATCTGGCCTGCACAGTCGATCCCCTGCCGCCTTCGTTCTCTGTCTGAGGTGTCGTGGAGGGCGTGGCCTGTTGGTGTGGTCCCTGCCTAGGCTCCCCCGTGCGCACCCCTACCTACATACGTACATACATAGGGTGCCCGCTGCAGGCCAGCCACATAACATAACGCGTTCCACTGTTGATCTGGCTTCCCGATCAACTCTCGACCGTTGTGTCCGTTCCCCCACGGGTCGATACCTTTGTTGCGCCTGTGACACGGCTACCCACCAGGCACTTGGTCCTGCATCTTTCCGCGCCTAGTGCTCTCACCGTCTTTCTGCACGCAGCGTCTGTGCCCTGGAGGGTGTGTTTTCGACGAGAACGAGGAAGGAAAGGAGGAAGGAGGGTTGTGCTCGGTTGGATAATGCTTGCGATCTGACACACAGGACTTCAAGACCTGCAAACGGAGCGAGCGACGGTCCACCAGCTCAGCCTCTGGGTTGGAGGGTCGTCTCACGTCCCATCTCTCTGTGATGACAGCATCGCTTGCGGATCCGGCTACGAATCAACATCGTGACCCGGTGCCTGGAGAAGGAGAAGAGGCCTTTATGCCCGCCATGGAGGACCCCTTTGTGAACAGCCCTGATGGGCCTGCCGCTTCTCGCGATTCCCACCGGTACTCGTCCTTTGACACCCAGCTGCTCAGCCTGGATGCGTCGTCCCCGTCTCAGGCCAAGCGCGCCCTCGAGGCCCACCTGGCCGAGACGGAGCGGCGACTGCAGGAGGCTTCGAAGCTGGGCACTGCTCTCGTGGAGCAGCAGCAGAAGCTCACCGAAAAGCTCAGAGAGGTAGAACGCCAGCAGGATGAAGGCGAGATCGGGCCCGAACTGCGTCGCAAGCTCATGGAGCTGGAGAGGGAGTACAATGAGATTGGTAAGGAGAGCGCGCGAGCCTTCTTGGCTCCCAAGCGACTGGTCAGCACCGGAGACGGCACGCCTTCGGGTGAACTACGGGTATGGCTGCTTTCGCTTTGAAGACTACTTGGTGATATAGTATTGCTAACGGATCTCACAGTCGCCAACCAACTCGTCGGTTTTTACCAGCCAAGCGACCGCCTCGCCCTCCAAAGTCAGCGTCCCCTCACGCAAGCAACGGAACCAGCAGTCGAGCCGCGTCCATGACATTGAATTCGCAACGGAAATCTCGACGTCGCTTCTTGCTCAAGTTCGTCAGCTGCAGGCGCTCCTGGCTGAGCGGGATGAGGCCTTGAAAGCGGCCAATCTGGAAAACTCAAGGCTGGAGCTGGAAGCGGAGGGATTTGCCCAGCGCATTCGAGCCCTGGATGAAAGCGAACAGCGTTACAAAGACGAGAACTGGAACCTCGAGACCCAGACGCACGAGCTCCAGAATACCATCAAGGAGGCTGCCGATCGTGAAAACCGCCTCAACAACACCATCAGCGCCCTGACGGCCGAAAAGAACAGCGTCGAGCGCGAGCTCGAAGAGTTGAAGCAGGCCAACGCCAAGCTCCTCGAGGACCAAGCCGCCGCGCAAAAGGCGCACGACAGCGAGGTGCATATGCTTCGCCGGAACCTGAGCAATGGGGACGCGGAACGACAATCTCTGCAAGCCAAGGTGGACGAGTTGACCTCGCAGAACCAGGAATTGGTCAAAGCCGTTTCCGCGCTGCGGGCGCGACAGCAGGAGATGGAAGCTCCTCGAGTCCAGACTATCGAGCCGGAGGACAACATTCCCGATCAACCGACTCCGGAGAACACCCCGCCGCCGTCTCCCAACAAGCCCACGCCTCGTCATGGCCATCTGGAGACCGAGACCCTCCGAAGCTCCCTTGGTCACGCCCATCGCATGATCCAGAATCTCAAGAGCACCATCCACCGCGAGAAGACCGAAAAGATCGAACTCAAGCGCATGTTGCAGGAGGCCAGGGATGAGCTGGAGACTCGTCGTCGTGAAGCCGCCGTTCCGGCAGCCAGTCATCATCATCATCCGAAGCGCCAGAAGATCAAACCGGAGACGTTCAAGAAACCCATCGTCCGGCCGGATTTGCTTGGTCCCGCCAGGAGAGGCAGGACGACGGAAGTGGCCCTGGATGAGCCCGACTGGGAGGACCACACCAGCGAGGCGAGCCCGACGCGCACCATCCGGTCAGCCAAGGGCAGCAGCCCTCGGCGTTCGACGGACCTAAGCGAGGCCTACCAGACTGCCACCGAGGCCGATGACTCTTTCGAGACTGCCAATGAGCGTGAAACAGCGACCGAGAGCGAGGCGTTCCAGACGGGTGTTGAAAGCATGGCCGAGGACAGCGCCGACGATCTCACGGAAACCGAGGAGCGGGCCACTTCTCGCGGAGGCACGCCACGGGCCCGGAGAGTGCCCTCTTCGTTGCAGTCTGGGGCTGGTGACCGGACCTCCTATCACAGCACGGCATCGACTTCGGAAGATGAGGCGGAAGAAGTGCGGACCCCGGTGCAGTCGCCGCCCCCGCGATACCGGCTGAAGATGAACAGAGGCGTTCTGAGGCGCATCCGCCCCTCTGGCGAGGCTCCCATGGCCGAACCGATGAGTCCGCGCGAAACACCGGCAAGCCCGACGCAGGGAAGGGCTCTTCCAATGGGCCAGAGTCTGTTTGCGGAACTGGAAGAGTTGGGTTCTGGGAATGAGGGAGACTTCGGCACGCCTGTGCGATCATCCTCTCATGGTTTCTCCCAGCCGTCTACTCCGCTCCAGAATTCCGTGGTACTGGATAGAAGGGATTCGGAGGCGACGTTACCTCCGCCCCGGTCGCTTATGGTTGATTCTTCAACGATGACGGAGCCTTGGGAACAACCTCCTTACCTTGCTTCCCAGGTTTCAAAAGAGACCATTCGACCCGAGAGACCGCTCACGATTGACACCAAGACTATCCCAACGTTGGTGGACTCTTCAACCCAGTATACACCCACGAAGCCATCGGCGGGATCAAATGGCGAGCTGCCCACGTTCCCTACGCCGCCGAAGACCATTTGGGACGAGTCCGCGTCGGTCAGGCAGGGACAGGTCTCTGCCAAGGAGGAACCAGACTCGACAAAGGCCGTGCAGGTACAGTTGGATGTTTCAGCGATCCAGGCGGTGGAGACAGCGCCGGTCGCACCAGTCGTTCCGGAGCTGAAACTATCGACAATCTTGACTCAGGCGACGGAACCGGTCGCCTGCAAGTTGCCAGAGCCCGAACCCGTTGTGGTCGTCGAGCCAGAGCCTACCAAAGCTGCCGTGCCGCAATTGTCTGTGTCTTCCATCTACAGTGAAGAGACCATACCTGTTGCTCCTAAGTTGCCCGAGCCCAAGCCCGAGCCCGAGCCTGCTACGGTTATCGAACGCGAGACTCCCGACAGAGCTTCACCGCAATTGTCCCTGTCGTCAATCCAGGCAGAACAGACTCAACCTGTGGTGCAGCCGGCGCATGACGATCGTCAGCGTTCCGTCCCTGAGCTCTCCATCTCGCCGATCCAGTCAGCAGAGACCATCCCCGTTGAACCTGTCCTGCCAACTCCCGTTCCCGCAGTCTCTGTTTCCCCTGCAGATGAATCGCCTGATGAAAGGCCAACCACTGCTGTCCACAGAGGAGACGTTGCCGTTTCGGTGCTCGACAAGAAACCGTCCACCGTTGTTGAAGACGACGCCAGCCAAGACATCGCTTCGGACGCGGAGAATAAGGCTAAGGAGGCGACGAGTGTCATCTCCGGAAATGTTGCTCCCCCCGAGACAAAGAAGGACCTTACTCCGGGTGCAGACAAGGGTGCCCAGACCATCCTGTCGGCCAAACAGATCGACCAGCTACTCTTGGAGCGTGCAGCAGCTCGTCCTGTCACT